CCAAACACTGGGAGAACATGCAAACTCCACACAGAACGACTGATGGTGAAATTGAACTCAGGACCTTCTTGCTGTGAGGCAACAGTGCTAACCACCATGTTACCATAGTGCAATCTAAAAATATCAACAACAAGACTGCTCTCTCAAGAAGAGAGAGTCAGTGAGTGGCTTAAAACAATATATTGTGGAGGTAGGGGTGGATAGATGGGTCAAGAGAACGTCAGTATTTTGATCTCTTTTCTCTAAACTTTGTCATTTTGTCTTAAAGACCCACACCAATGATCTTTAGATGGGTTGATGCTAGTCCCCTTGAGTTCAGTTCAGTTTAACTCAGTTTAGTTTTATTTATATAGCGCCAAATCACAACAACAGTCACCGCGAAGTGCTTTTTTATAAAGACCCTACAGTAATACAATATTGTAGGGTCAATACAATACCAAATAGTTAACAATATTAACACAGTCACACAAAGCTTTGCTAAACAAATGTTTCAGAGCTACTGAATTCACCTTGTTTAGTCAATTGTCATGAAATTTCTTGTGTTTCAATTTAAAATGTTCTGATCACAATAAAATAAATCCCTGACTTAAACACCTCAAAGTCAATTCACTCCTCTAATAAGCCTCTAAGACCAGTGTGAGAGGCCTTGTTTTGTCAGCTTCTATCTAGGGTATAAAAAAAGAGGTTGTAAAGGTTTGCTGCTGAAAATGTTTAGTTACGTTTTTCTAGGTTTGGTGTAAAATCACATTACTCAGTAGGATTAGTTATTAAAAACATAAGATGCTGTAGCTACAAAATAAGCTGCTCTTCAAAATAAATCCCCATTTGTAAATCATATTAGGGCATTTTTAGGAAATTGAGGCTATGCACACACATTATTCCATATGTCTAACTAATAAATGTTCTGGCTGATAAATAGTAGCTCAGCAGCGTAGTGGCTTACATGTTTGCCTAACAAGTGAAATGTTCACAGTTTGGTCCCAGGCCAAGATCCAATCTCTTTTGAGGTTGCATGAGGAACAATATGTAGTGTGAACGATCTGTAATCAAACATGTAGAGAACTGTACATGCTGAAGCAACCCTTTCTGAATAAGGGGGCAGGGGAAAGTATTTTTTTCTGGCAGATCATGTGGTTTAAAACAACATTTAACCACAGCACAGCCACCATATTACCTTGCTGTTCTCTCAGTTAGAGAGCCCACTATCAAAGAAATTTGCAGTTTTTCTGCTTTCATGTGACGCTGCAAGAGTCCTGAGATCCTCTGAAACTGGATCACTGTGTGGTGATGCATGGTTTGGTTTTAAACTAGATTCTGTGGAACTGTTATGCAATACACTCCATCTGTTTATTGTTCAGTGAAGTCATCTCACTGATGTCAGAAACAACACTAAAAACACATCTAGCACCAGATTTGTATTAATTTGGTTTAATTGCATTCATGTTGGGAGTGTGACAGTGGGTGTTTTGTGAGTAATGCTTCAGACTCTATTTTTGTTCATCAGTAGAGTCTGGGGAAGTAGTCATTGTTTAAAGCAAAAGCTCTTGCCAAAGAAGAAATAAAAGATTCCCTCAAAAGGATTACTGACTTTATTGTAAAACAACAGACTTTATATGCGTATTTATACACGTATAAACAAACATACAGGAAGAAATGTAATGATTTTGTCTTTGGTTCCTCCCCGGATACACCTAGCACTGAGTGAAATGGGAGAATCACTGTTTGAATTCAATTCAGTTCAATTCAGTTTCATCTATAAAGCGCAACAGTCAACTCAAGGTGGTTTATATCGTATCGTAGACCCTATGATAATTAGTGTTGGTCATGTTACTTGAAAAAAGTAATCAGTAACTAATTACTGATTACTTCCCCCCAAAAGTAATCCCATTACTTTACTGATGGCTTATTTTCAAAAGTAATTTGTTAATTACTTTTTTAAAAAAGGATTTACAACCTGAATAGGTTTTCAGCCCAATTCTATTTTTTCTGCCTAATCCATCATACAAAATGTAATCAAATGGAAAAGTCTCTTTTTGAAACTAGTTTTATTAGTTTTAATTTTTTAACTTTACGCATGAAACAAACATTAAATTATATGCAACATTCTCTGACTGGAAGAAATTTGTTTAACATTTAAACCTATTTTCTTCATATTCCAGCACATAAAATAAATTAGGTTTTTTGTGTTTACACTCACTCTTTCAAATAAATGCAAGTAAAACACAGCAGAAAATAAATAAAATCAAAGACTCAGCGGTCCTGTTGCTCTATTTTCACCTGTATAGCAGGAGTGGGGCAGGCAGAGGTTTGCCCTGGTGCAGGTGTGTCGTAGCGGTCAGTGGAAGGATTCCCGTGGCAGCGTACTGTCGGTGCTTGCTTAGAAGTTTATGGGTTTTTTCGCTGTAAAAAGAAGTTTTCTTCCCACGCAGTGAAAAGTGGACACTAATGTTTTTATCACTTTTTACGGAATCAAATTCAAAGTAAGGTCAGTACTTCCACTCTTTAAACGCTGCACGGTCATACTCTCTGCCGCACTCCTTATATTATCCATTGTTGATCTGCACACAGCTGTTCCCACGAACGTCGCACTCGCTTACGTAATTGTCATGAGACACTCTCGCAAAAAAATCACCGTTTTAGTAACGCAGTAACGCAGCGTGCTTACGGGAAAGTAACGGTAATCTAATGACCTTTTTTGCAATACTAATCCCTTACTTTACTCGTTACTTGAAAAAAGGTAATCGGATTACAGTAACGCTCATCTCTGATGATAATACATACAGAGAAAATCCCAACAATCATATGACCCCCTATGAGGAAGCACTTTGGTGACAGTGGAAAGAAAAACTCCCTTTCAACAGGAAGAAACCTCCCCCTGAAGCAGCTGTGGTGAGAGGAGGAAGTTGGGACAAAGGACATGCTGTGTAAGAGAGCCAGAGATTAATAACAAGTGTGATTCAGTGCAGAGAGGTCTATTAACACATAGTGGTTGAGAAAGGTGACTGAAGAAGAAATACTCAATGCGTCACGGGTATCCCCCAGCAGCCCTACCTATTGCAGGGTGGATTCAGGGTCACATGATCCATTCCTAACTTAAAAAATCTTAAAAGTAGAGAGAGTGTCTAATCGAATCGAATTTGATGATCATATGGCCATAAACTCAATTATTGCTTTATTAGGTACATCTGTTCAATTTCTCTTTAACACAAATATCTAATTAGTCAATCATATGGCAGCCACATCCTACCCGAAGACAAAATCACACACTTCTTGGCCACATCAATAGGTATACCTGTTCATTTGCTGGTTACTGCAAATCACATGTGATCAGATCAATGCATTTAGGCATGTAGATATGGATTTTCTGAAATACAAGGTTCAAACATCAGAATTGGGGAAGAAAAATGTAATTTAGGTGACTTTGAATGTGGCATGGTTGTTGTGACAGATGGGCTGCTCTATGTATTTCAGAAACTACTGATCTGCTGGGATTTTCCCACACAACCAGCTTTCGGCTTTAACAGAGAATGGTGTGAAAAAGAGAAAATGTCCCGAAATGAGGAGGGCCAGAGATCAGAGGAGAATGGCCAGGTTGCTTCAAGGTGATAGGAAGACAAGTTGGCATGTTACAGCCAAGGTATACAGAAGAGCATCTCTGAGCACAAAGCCTGCTGATCCTTGAAAGAGAAAATCACACCTGGTGCCATTCCCATCAGGTGAAAACAGGAAACTTAGGCTACCATTCACACAGGATCACCAAAATCTTTACAACAATTCAGACTGGTGGGGGTGTATTGATGTGGGAGATATTTTCTTTGCATGTTGGGCCCCATAGTACTGTCTGTAGGATAGTTCCAGTTGAGCATTGTTTAAATGCCACAGCCTACATGAAGAAAAAACATACGCACTTGCCAGCCACATCATTAGGCATACCTCTTCAACTGCAGATTAATGCAAATCACAAGGCATCAAATCACATGGGAACAAATCAGTGCACTTAGGCACACGGATATGGCCAAGAAGGCCTGCTGAAGTTCAAACTGAGCATCAGACTGCAGCTGCAAACTAATGTGTGTGCCACTCCTGTGGGTTAAGAAACCAAGACTACAAGTTGTACTGGCTCACAAACGTTTGATAACAGAAGACTGGATAAATATTGCCTTGTCTCAAAAGTCTAGATTTCTGCTGTGACATTCTGATGATAAGGGTAGAATTTGGCATCATACGACCTCAAAGCATGGGCCCATCCTGCCTTTTATCAGTGGTTTAGGCTGGTGGTGGTGGTGGTAGGGGACAACTACTTCTTTTCTTGCCGCACTTTGGGCGCCATAGCACCAACTGACCCCACAGACACATTATTGCTGTTAACCATGCTCATCCTGTTGTGAGCACAGTCTACACATCTAATGATGTCAAACTGGTTTCTTGAACACGACATTGAGTTCTTTGTATTCATCTGGCTGACACAATCATTGGATCTCAATCCGGGGTTGAGAAAGTTGGGATATGGTGGAATGGGAGATTGGCATCATGGATGTGCAGCCGGTATTTTGTATCAACTCTGTGATGCTATCATGTCAATATGGACCAAAATCTCTGAGTAATGTTTCCAGCACCACAAAGAATTAAGCCTTCTTCAGGCAATGAACTTGCAACATAACAATGAAAAGAACTTCATATTTTCCAGTAACAGTCTGTTGTTGAAATTTTGAATTTCCAAGTCTCAGTATGAAGGGCTAACCTGACTGCATAGGTTTGGAATCACTGTATCAATATTAGCCTTATTGCCTTATTGCCATTTTTGCACACCATGACCCCTCATCCAACTCACAGTCAAAATCAAACTTAATTTTAATATCAGTTTCCTTCCTTTATCCCTTCTTTCCTTCCTTCTGGCCAGCAAGCCTTATCCGTGGCGCACTAACAAAGGGAAGAAAAAAAAACCCAACTCGCTGGCCCCGCCCCCTTTAAAAACGCAAAAAAAAAAGAAGGGGGAAAAAAAAGGGCCAGCAACAATGTGATAGACAACACAGCCGCTCTGCTCTCTCAGCGTAGTAGTGGATATCTTCACAGTGACCAGAGAGCAGAGGCGAGCCAAAGCGAGCCGCATGCTCGCTGTGCAACAAGGGGGACGGGAGCAAAATGAACCACCGGAAAGCCGCAGCAGCAGCATCCATTGAGGACCCGTAACAGTATTTGGGTAAGGCTTTGTTTGCTCTCCCTAGGATTTCGATACAGTTCTGCATTTTCTGATTAAGAGCGCTTTGTGCACGAACGCGGAGCGGAACAAGGGGAGGATGTGTTCGCACGATGTTTGCTTAAAGCGCTGCAATACCGAGAATTTGAAATGGAAAAAAAAAACCCTAAATAAAAAGAAAAAACATGCGGATGAGAATGTAGCCGACAGCGCTTTGTCTTCGTTACTTCTCCGGAGCAGCATAACCATCACAGGAAGCTCATTTTAACAGCGGCTCATTTTTTCTAACCATTTTTATTGGTTAGATTGTTAAGTAAAAACAGAGGCATTGTTGACACAGGCAGCAGAGTTCACCGTTTCTGACGCGATCCTGTTACCCGGTGCTGTTTAGTGTTTTTCTTTTTTTTTCTGCTTCGCCCCACAATGGATTGATTTCATTCACATCTCACTGTGAAGCCAGTGCCCCACTCCGCTCTACAACTTGGGAAGAACATGCGGAGGTTTCTCGCTGCCTTAGCGCTCAGTTATTGATGCACATGCTGGAGCAGCTCCACACAAAACAGCAAACCAAGGCCAACTAAGGAGCTCCAGGTTAAATTAAATTAAAAACAGTTGTATAGTATTACATTAATAGCGCTTTGACGCAAACAGAAATCAGTGCCACTTTAGTTAAGGTGGAAATAACCTGCTTTGTATACCAAAAGTTACATTTGCTGCTTCCCTTCAGACTCAACTCAGTTCACTTCAATTCAGTTTTATTTATGTAGCACCAAAACACAACAACAGTTGCCTCAAGGTTCGTTATTGTAAGGTAAAGAGCTTACAATAAAACAAAAAGAATTCCCATTAATCAGACAACCACCTATGAGGAAGCGCTTGGGGAAAGTGGGGAGGAAGAACTCCCTCGTAACAGGAAGAAACTGCAGAACAGGCTCAGAGAGGGGGGAGACATCTGCCAAGACCTACTGGGGGTGATGGGAGGAAAAGAGGACAGAATACACACTGTTGAAGAGAGCCAGAGATGAATAATGACTAATGATTAAATGCAAGTGGTGTTTAAACACATTGTGACACAGTTGTAGCCGTTTGTTTTTAAAATTAGAAGCTAACCTATTCTACTTTACATTCACTCCCAGACTAACACCAGGTGATTGAAAGCAGTGAAAACAACAACAACAGGACCAACAACACACAGACACACACTGGTGTCAAGAGCAATTAAGCCTTTTATTTTTTGTGCATGCGGAGGGTTTGGAACGTGATGCCTTTTGAAGTAGTGCGAGTTGTCTTGATATCAGCAACAGGAAGTCTTATCACTGAGCTGTCGCCACTTTTAGCTGAATGTCACCGTAACACATTAAACCTGCCAAAGAAACGCACACAGCCTTCAAGAACCGCGGTGGAGTTTGGGAGTCGACTGAAACTCATTACAGTGAGAACACGCGCGCAACCGCACTGTTCTCCGTAGTCCACCGGAATCAAAGGCACCGGCCTGTTCTTTTGTATTTTCTTTCTCTGTGCATCATAAACAGCTCAGGGAAGGAAATTCAAAGCTCCTCTCCAGGTTATAGAGACATTGCATCAGAAAAGTGTTATTACGTGTGCGCGTGTGTAGAGCTGCTGAATATTTATGTGCGCTGTGGTTTTCAAGGCTTCACGGAGTTTACAAGGACAAGGACAAAAGTTGAATTTAATGGTCACTGTTTAAACTGTAGAGGTAAAGTTATTTTTGTTAAGTTATTCATTTATATGTGATAAAATAAACCAGAGCAAAAACGCAGGATCGCTTTGTGTTCTACTTCTCAAACCATAGATGTTCTTACCCCCTCTCACAGTGCATTATAAATGTGCAAATGAATGCTTGATACACACAGATTTACACCCGCGCTGTGTGAAAGCGTTGTGACTGTCACACAACTTCTGTATTACTGCTATTACACACAACTAGCTAATCGCATCCACACGTTGGCTGGCACCTCTTTGTGTCTGCAGCTGGATGTTTATTGTCTCCAATGGGGCTCCCTCCCTCTGTGTGTGCAGACAAGGCAAAGGTGTTAAGGAGAGCTCCTTTCTTTGCACACACTAACACTAACACACCACATTTATTCCACCACAGCAAATACATCAAGCCATTTTTACACACAGAGTCTTTATTTCTTTATCAAACTGATAGATATTGACCAGCATGTAGTTCTTTGACACGCTGAGTGCAGCTCAAAGTCGTCATTGGAAAAATGTGTGTAAATATAAATCAGCAAGTCGCTGAAACTGCAGCATAGTAAGCATGTGGGTCAGTATCGTGTGTTCACGATTCTCACGATCTCTTTCCTTTTCAACCTTTCTGGTCATGTGACCCAAAGTTGCATTCTGCCATGAAGGTAGTAAACATGTAAAATGATAAGGGTGTAGAGGTTCTGTAAAACTAGTGAAAATTTACACTGCAAAGAAACACATTAGGTTGAAAGGAAGGTTTGGGAGGTTAATTACACACACACGCGCACACACACACACGCACACATGTAAAAGAGAGGGAGTGTTGTGTGTGTGTGTGTGTGCATTCATGAATATGACTCTAAAAATACTAGGAGGTGAAAAAAATGCTAACAGATGAAATGCATAATTGAAGTCGGCTATGACCCAGTAACAGTGTTGGAGTCAAAGACTGACTGTTCTTATTAGCATCAGATGAGAGGACGTCTGAGAGGGGAAGTGATTCATACCAGCTTTAGTCTGGATTAGGCTGTAAAGAGATAGATGTGCAGGAGTCGATCTGTTCACGAGCAGGGCCGTGAAGTGGATATTGCACCGCTGCAGCCTCGAAGGTGCTCGGAATAGTTGCATTGATTAAAGTATAAGATGGTACTGCTGATATTGAGGTTTTCAGAATGCTTTTTTTTTCCAAAACCAGTTCATATTGATTTCATTTTTTTTATTGCATTAAACCTGCAGTAGCATGTTTTTCATCACCTGAGGGCTGTGCTATGAACAAAGTTCAACAGAGCCAGGCTTTCTTTGCGTTAGCCTGAGTTGGAGGTAATGGGCATCATGACAGTGTTTATCAGTTTTTTCTGTCAAGTTGGGCTTTCTGCCTCAAGCTCTGCACACTCACATAAAAATGGGCATTTTTGTAGGTAATGTGACACTTCCTCCACCAAAAAATGATCCCTGTGAGTGCCACCTAGTCTAGCCAGAGACGTTATCAGATGGTGATAATAAATAGTGATTAAAATTCTCCAAAGAACAGAAAAAGTATCTGAGTAAAATGCAACACAGTTGCAAATAAGACAAAATTAATGCTGCAGAAAATTAATAATCTGGTGATTTAATGCGCCGAGCGGTAAAATAAATATATTAATTCAAGTTATGCTGAGTGTACTTTCTGCGCTCAGGTTTTTTTCTAAGGTAACAGCTGCAGATTAGAAGTCCTGAAACTTTAAACCGGATTTATTGAACATTAAAGGTTTATTGGCAGATTAACTCAAATTAATGTTACTGAGTAAATAGGTGTTTCACATATAAAACATATTTTCCCAGCAGAGATTTTAAAAGATTAGCACTTTAAACGTGCTGTAAATGATAGATTTAAATCAGATTTTAGATTTTAAACCAAAACTCTAAATCTGTCCTCAGGTTATATGCTTAACATATAACCTGTTACCATGGGGATTTAGGGTACTTTAAGCTCAAAGAAGCTCACTAAGCCATTAATCTCGCTGAGCAGCACATGCCCCAAGTGAAAACAAGTAACCCAAACTTTTTAACTTGACATGCCAGCCTTTGTATGTATCTTTAATTTGCACTTGTGTTTCTATCTAGCTGTTAGATTTATCACAGTTTGTCAACAATGAAAGGAAGAAGTTAAGACTGTGCAACTAGTTGCACAGTCTTAAGTGTGTGAATGGGTGGATGACTGGATATGTAAAGCACTTTGGGGTCCTTAGGGACTAGTAAAGCGCTATATAAATACAGACCATTTACCATTACAACATGTAACTGTCAGAAAAGTTGATTTCGAAACTTGTTTGCTTTCACAGAATCTTTTAACGTGGACTCAAAAATTGCAGCACGTAAGAAATGTTAGGCTAATTTGTTTGTTTCATGTCTATGATAGAAAAAAACTATATGTCAGTGGAGTTTTAAAAAACCAAATATCAGTATCCGTCCTAAAAACAAAATCCAGCATTGATCAAGCTCTACTAGTGAATCTCTTGATGCATGCTTAATCATCCAGGTAAGTAAATGCTAAAAATTCTACATCCAGATGAACAGAATCAACCTGGTGAATGTTTCGATGCTTTCATCTGTGTGTGTACTAGATAGGGCTGCCACAAACGATTATTTTGATAGTCGACTAGTCACCGATTATTTTTGCGATTAGTCGACTAATCACATCATCATCCATTGGACATACAGCGTACAGCTTATTGCACCAGCAGCATCTGCTCTTATATAACTATCATTAGCTTACAGCTTTAAGTGTTTAAGTTAAGTGCTAATTAAAAATAAAGACAAGATGATAGTTTATTAAAGTTTAATGAAGTTTGCAGATTGTTTCGGTGAAGTTTAATAAACTCCTTGCTATCTAAAATATAACAGGACACCGGAGTAAATTCTCGAACATCTCACACTTCTGATAATCAGCTGTCTGCTTGACGTTTATTCAGCTGTGTAAAAACTATAACTTTAATCTCAGCCAAACCGATTTACTCAGGAACAAATAAAATACTAAAAAAAAAGCCAAACAATAACATTTTAAGCTAAGTGACGGCAGTGGGTTTGAAAACGATTTGCCGGGAGTCCGGTGTTCTCACGGCTCTAGTTAGCCTAGCCCCCGGCTAGCTATCAAGCTAGTGGGTAACAGACGTCTCCGAAAACGTCGGAGCGCTTTTGAAAATATGTGGTGTCTTGATAAACTGAGCAGATATTTGAGGTTTACACAGCTACATTCTCGCCTGAAAATATGTTAAACGTTTATTTTGTGACCCGGAAAGAATAATAAGAGT